TGAAATAGCCTCTCAAGGCTATCAGCATAGGTAGGGAAAAAAAAAAAAAAAAGAAAGATTTTCCCGGTTTTTTCCCGATTCGCCTCTCAATCCCTAATCGCCCCATTTTACCGGTACATACATTTATGTATTATAATTTTTGGCGGGAACGTGAGGAGTGAAGTTGTGTGATTTGTTTTATTGGAACGAAGTTCCTTACGGCAGGCTTGGAGGGGATAGGGATTTTGCTGCGCGACCGAACTGAAAAAAATGTGATAGTAAAACCGTAAGAAAAAATCCATGGAAAAAAGTGCGTGGAAAAAATCCATGGAAAAGAGTGCGTGGAATAAAACCGTTAAATGAGACGTGCGCAGGCGCGACAGTCGTATACACAAGCGAGTAGTGTATAATACCTTTCTCTTTCTCCCTCCTTCTTTTCGTTCTCTCATCCCTTCTCTCTCTATTTTGTAATTATTTCTATTTCTATGTAATTTTATGTTGTCAAACAAAAATAAAGAGACATATTTTGTTATTTTAATTGATAATTTGAATTACGATTTTATTTTTATTTTAGTAATTTATTATTTCCTAAATTACTGAATTTCCTAAATACTTTCCTGTACTTAAATAAAAACTAATCAGCAAAATTTAAGAGAAAAATCAAGAAAACCAACATAAAATTGAGCACGATTTCTTTTTTGCAAATTGTGTCGATTCTACATTAGCCGAAGGAACTTCGTTCCTACCTGTTGTCCCACGACACCACATAATTAGTTTTTTGTCTATTTAGTGTTTCTTCAGGTTTAGATGTGTTATAACGGTCTTTTATTAACTGTTTAGTATCTGTGAAAGGGTACAAATGTGAGAAAATGAAACAAAGCCGCTGGACGAAACTTCTCGGGATCCTCCAAAAATTCACAGAGAAAGTGAAATTTTTGCAGGATTTTACTGATTTAAATCTCTCATTTCAATTATCTCATTTTATTTCATTTCATTTCATTTCATGCCACGTTTCATATTAATCAACTTCACTTAATTTCATAATATTATTACCATTTTTTCATTAAAATTAAAATAAGACTTGAGCCAAAGGTCTTAGTTACCAGATCATAAAATCCCTTAAAAAAACATTTATGTATTAACTAGCTTTTTCGCGGGAACGAGTGTTGAAGTTGTGTGAATTGTTTTATGTTGTTAGTTTAGTGGTTTTTCAGGTTTGAATGTGTCGTAATAGTGGCGTAAAATCCGCTTGGCATCTATGAAAGTGCTCCAGTGCAGGAAAATGAAACAAAGTTGCTGGGTAAACCTTCTCGGGTTCTCCCAAAATGCTCAATGAAGTCTATATAAATTTCCACCATTTTACTGAGACATTATTTCATATCATAAATATAGGTATATTATAATTTTAATTAGATCAATTTAATTCCATTCTGCTGCATTATATTTAACATATTTATTTAATAATTGAAGATTTTTATAAACTGCCGACAATTGCAACATAGGGCAAGTGCCATTTTGAAAAGAAAAAAATATATTGTAATCAGCTTTTGAAAATCAATAACTATTTGAAAATTAATTAAAATCAATTTATCTGGTGTAGGTAGTTACATATTACGAGTAATTTGGACACAAAGCAGTCATGCGTCTTGTTTTGAATGGTAGGGGAATGCGTTGACAATGACATTGACACTTCGATCACAGGTCTTAAAACATTAATATTTATGATGATAACCGCTAGTCGCATAAAAACTGCCCATCTGAAAGCTTATCCACTTCAAAAGCAAATTAAATAAAAGCTTCAAACTGAGATAATATTTATGCAGTTTGACATAAGTATATAAGCTTACATAATTAATTCAAGCTAGGTTCGACTAAAAACAACGCGATCTTCATGCGGTAAATCAATGACTATATTTTTATTGGTGATTCTGAGATGCGTGAGAAATATCTATATTCACTTAGATCCCTGTATTATATCAGTTTTTATACTTAAACAGTCTATATAAAAGTATTAACTCAGATAAAATAAAATGTAAAGATCTTTGTAATTCGAAGCGGGAATGGAAGTAGCTTCGCAATCGACACCGCCAGGTGCTCATGTTCGCCTGGTACTTTTCGTAACAACTTGATTAACTTTTACTTATTCGTCGTGTTAATTAAAATTTTACTCATTCCGCGATGAAAATTAATTGAAAAACATGATTTATCACATTCCTAATGAATTTGTTGGAATTCATGACAATTTTTTTAATTATTATATTTACCCAATACTTACGTTTTATTTAGAATAGTATATGGTTATTCCGAACTTTAAACAAAGAAGATTCTTTTTTTTTATTATTTACACAATACTTACATTTTATTTAGAACTAGCTTACCCGGCAGACTTCTTACTGCCTCAATCGAAAAATAAAAGACCTAAACTTTAAAATAAACTTAAAACAACCCAAAAAGAATTCGTGCGAAGGAAAAACAAAATTGTTATTTTTATTTAATACCGAGCATTTTCATATTTGTCTACCTTTTAAACCTTCTCTGGATTTCCACAAATAATTCAAGACCAAAATTAGCTAAATCGGTCCAGCCGTTCTCGAGTTTTAGCGAGACTAACGAACAGCAATTAATTGTTATATATTATACTAGCGACCCGCCCTCGCTTCGCTTCGGAAACATTAAAACACACATGAAACCAAAACATAAAAATAAAAAATTAATAAAAAAAAAGTAGCCTATGTTCATCAGGGACAATGTCGGCTTCTAATGCAAAAAGAATTTTTCAAATCGGTCCAGTAGTTTCGGAGCCTATTCGAAACAAACAAACAAACAAATCTTTCCTCTTTATAATATTAAGTACTAGCAACCCGCCCTCGCTTCGCTTCGGAAACATTAAAACACACATGAAACCAAAAAAATAAAATAAATTTTTTTAAAAAAAAAGTAGCCTATGTTCATCAGGGACAATGTCGGCTTCTAATGGAAAAAGAATTTTTCAAATCGGTCCAGTAGTTTTGGAGCCTATTCGAAACAAACAAACAAACAAATCTTTCCTCTTTATAATATTAGTATAGATAGATAGATAGTATTTGGTTATTCCGAACTTTAAATAAATAAGATTCTTTTTTCATTATTTACACAATACTGACGTTTTATTTAGAATAGTGTTTGATTATTCCGAAATCAAAATCAGGAAGATTCTAAATTCAATGTTCGTTCTAACTCAGTTATCTTGGAGGATGTCGAAAAGCCATGTTTCGAAGTTGATATGGGAGATATAATTCTAATGTAATCTGTAATGTAAATAGATAAAGATACAGAGCAAGTAAGTAGCAATTTCTCGTCGGTTTGTCAACCGAATTACTTTCTTTGTTTAGTAGGGCTATTGACGAGCTTTATTGTATTTTATTTTAAGTGTCAGTATTAAAACGATCTATCTAACGAATCTAAGTCTTGAGGTTTAGTGGTTATAGTTGAATTTAGATCACTAGATGAACATTAGGGGCTGGAGTTTAAACAATGAATGCGGCTTTAATTTTAGTGTCTAAGATGTAACATCGTGTAGTAAAAATCAAACCCGCATAAATTATAATTTGCGTAATTATTGGTGGTAGGCCCTCTTGTGAGTCCGAACGGGTAGGTATCACCACCCTGCCTGTTTCTGCCGTGAAGCAGTAATGCGTTTCTGTTTGAAGGGTGGCGCAGCCGTTGTAACTATACTTGAGAGCTTAGAACTTATATCTCAAGGTGGGTGGCGCATTTACGTTGTAGATGTCTATGGGCTGGAGCCCATAATTACTATTCACGGTTTATGTATTCGCGGCATATTTACGGAAAATTATACCCTGCGAATAAAGAGCTTTTACTGTAGTATATTAATATGGCATACGGTATGTTTGATATCCGCATTGGATTGCTAATCGCTTCGGATTGTATGGTTTTTCTCGTTTTGCACTGTTTACAATAACAATAATAATAATAATAATAATAATATTTATTCATTCAAGCCTCTTAAAATACAAACACGTACAAAAATACTTAACACTAGTATAATAATATACATGGCTTTTTTTATGAGGTATACAACAATAATAATAATAAACGCGTAAGCCACACAAAAATAAGCCAAACATAAATATATTTTAATAATAATTTTTTATACATATATTTCATGTTTATTTTTGTTTTCGTGATCCTGTTTAGGATATTCGGATATGGCAGTAAAATGATTGTATTACTAACTTTTATACATCTGTATATTTTGAAGTTAATCGAATTACCTAATTAATTTTCATGCGAAACCCACATTCACACGTAATTTAGACACGTTTTATCGAGATTAATATAGGTGACAGGTGAAGTTAATAAAAGCGTATTAAAAACTGCTTAATCGAATGAACTAATAACTTCACGAAAAAAAAAAATTTAGATCAAATCGTAACACACAACACTATGTTTATAGGCATAACATCTGTCCCAGTCATTTGACGTATTTAAAAGTAGGTATAGCTATTTAGGTTTGTTACATTCAATAAAATTATTGTTTAACAAAGTTTCAGTGTGGGAAAGAGATTTATTAACTGCCTGCAACAGTCGCAGGTGCGAGAGAGACGGAAAACAAATGGAGCTTGGAGGCGTGTTCGGAATACGTAGTCCGCACAAAGGAAGTCGGTGTCACACGGAAAATGCGGGAAAATTACCCCAATTATTGGGTAAATCTTCTATTTGCTTTTATTCAGAGGACGGAATAGGTTATTTACTGATTCCAAAGCCTATTATTAACAGTGTGATATACTTGAAAATAGTGACAGTGATTTTTATCGATACATTTAGTTCCCTCAATACGTTTCGAATTCAAAAACACGATTATTATTTCGGAACGTCTCCAGATTTATTACAAATAGAAAGGAACGGCAATGATTTTCTAGTTAGAGCAACACAGCGCTGAATGAAAAACGCCGGGAATAGGGGAGCCGGGCCAAAGCCCAAACCTACTTCAGTCGGTCGCGGGAGCTCGATCCGCGCAGTTGAGCCCCAACAAACCAATCGAAAAATTCGGTAAAATCGAATTAAAGGCGAATACAAGAAAAAAAAACCTAACCACACAAATTTCTCTCACCTCACTACGAATTGAAGTTTCTAATGTGCCGGTCTTAAAGATTTATTCGGGGTGTTCCATTTTAAAAATGGAACTAGGTTGTGAGTGCACAGGATCGGGTAGCGAATGAGGGATAATATTAAAAATAGGCTGTTTGCACGCTGTAAGGGTCAGGTAAGTTTCCCTTTGCCATTATTTATGGATAAGTTTTTTTTTTCCTGGAATAAAAAGTGCTCTAGGCCTGCAAAACTCTACGGCTTGCAAAACAGTACACAGAGATCTCTGAGCGGGCGCTGTTTCATATGTCATTTTATATGATCGATTTCATAAAATTATGCAGATTTATATTATAAATGCTGATATTTAGATATTACTGAGTATTTGTGATTTGCATGAGTATTGTTTTTATTATATATAGTACATGATAAATGCCTTATATAATACAATATTTCAAGATAATACATAACAGATTTATTATTTATATTAAAATAAAAGTAACAGTTTTGTTATATTGTTTATGTTTTTTGCGTCGATCTCTCTGTTGATTCGGGAAACACGTATGAACTACTGGATTGAAAATTGATTTTATCTCTCTACTATACTGGAACATGGAATTCGTGGATTATGGCTATAAAGCGGGCCTTACCATAGAAAACATATTTTAACCTAAAGATTTTATAAAAAAAAATATCATAGGCAATTCCTTAGTTGGCATACTGCTTCGGCAGAGAAGTTTTTTTTTAAATATTTTACTTAAATAGGCAAAGGTAAAACAAATATCATATTCTCTTCGGTTTTCCATCCGTTTATTTTTTTAAACAGCCAGTAATTTTCTGATTTATTAAAAAATGAGATTAAGATTTCTAAATCTGAAGTTGACAGTGACTGTTGATTTAGAATTCGAATTTAGATCTTTTTTTTTTTTAGATCATTGGCCTAACACTAGTATGAGTAAATGTGACAAAGTAAGTGTCTTGGCTTTAAATTTATTATAAATTAATAAATGGATTAAACGAGATCAGGGTTCACATGGTCTGAAGTGTTTTTTTTTTTTTTTATTGCCTTTGTTTGCAGACGATCATACGGCCCACCTGATGGTGAGTGGTTACCGTCGCCCATGGACTTCAGCAATGCCAGGGGCAGAGCCAAGCCACTGCCTACCGCTTAATACTCTCCACAAGCCTCGTTTGAAGAAGGACATGTCATAGCGCTCGGGAAACACCGTGGAGGGGAGCTCATTCCATAGCCGGATGGTACGTGGCAAAAAAGATCTCTGGAAANCCGCTGCCTACCGCTTAATACTCTCCACAAGCCTCGTTTGAAGAAGGACATGTCATAGCGCTCGGGAAACACCGTGGAGGGGAGCTCATTCCATAGCCGGATGGTACGTGGCAAAAAAGATCTCTGGAAACGCACTGTGGATGACCGCAGTGGCTCCAGGTAGTACGGATGAACTCTACTCCGGTGGCGGGCGGTGCGATGGTAAACACGAGATGCCGGTATCATCTCGAACAATTCCTCAGAGCACTCCCAGTGTTTACCGGAAGTCAATAAAAATAACTGAAATTATTATGTACACCGCGTTAATTAATTACGTTTGAATTTCAACTAGGTTTCATGCATAGTTACAAACGTTTTGTTTTTATCGTATTTTTTTTAAATAATAAGTGCCAATTCTACCAGTTTTGTGGAAATGTCTGTCTCGGTTACAAACATAATCTGGAACTTTCCATCTCGCGTCTCAAATTCAAAATGCTAGCAACTGACAGCGAATGTCATATTGTCGACAATAACTTCTTTGTCCTTCGTAAACAATTTAAATTCTTTTAAGAAAAACTCAAAGAAAAAGCATTTTTTTAGGTAATCAAATAAAAATTGGCGAACGAATTTAGACTAAAATTTTATAGTTTAAATTAAAAAAATATATATTTCACGCCATTTTTATAGTTAAACTAGCGGACCCGGTAGACTTCGTAATGCATAATACATGCATTAAGGCAAAACCGTTTTTGTTGTTTTTATTTAATTCCGAGCATTTTCATATTTATCTACCTTTTAAACCTTCTCTGGACTTCCACAAATAATTCAAGACCAAAATTAGCCAAATCGGTCCAGCTTTCCTCGAGTTTTAGCGAGACTGGTTTTTACTGGTGGTAGGACCTCTTGTCAGTCCGCACGGGTAGGTACCACCACCCTGCTTATTTCTGCCGTGAAGCAGTAATGCGTTTCGGTTTGAAGGGTGGGGCAGCCGTAGTAACTATACTTGAGACCTTACAACTTATATCTCAAGGTGAGTGGCGCATTTACGTTGTAGATGTCTATGGGCACCAGTAACCACTTAACATCAGGTGGGCTGTGAGTTCGTCCACTCATCTAAGCAATAAAAAAAAAAACTAACGAACAGCAATTCATTTTTATATATAGTTAAATTAAATTACTTTTCAATAGTACACTCGAAAACCAGGGCAACAGAAATCATAAGAGCTTAATACTTCGAAATTCAGAACGCCTCGGAATGAGTGTACGAACGTGCAGTAATTGCTTCCTGTAGGAAACGCGGCGTGTGAAAGATTTCTCGCCTTTCTACCAGGCGCGTATAAAACGGATCTGCTAATTAAGAACCAGACGGCTCTTTGATGGATTTACGATATGGAACGTGTACCGAAGCTTGGAAGATTTACCAGAAAAACGATTAATTCAGACACAATTAATGTTATATTGCCCACCGCCGGATCGGAGTTCATCCATACTTTTTTTATTTTTTATTGCTTAGATGGATCGACGAGCTCACAGCCCACCTGGTATTAAGTGGTTACTGGAGCCCATAGATATCTGCAACGTAAATGCGCCACCGAGCTTGAGATATAAGTTCTAAGGTCTCAGTATAGTTACAGCGGCTGCCCCACCCTTCAAACCGGAACGCATTACTGCTTCACGGCAGAAATAGGTATTGTGGTGGTACCTACCCTTGCGGACTCCTGCCACCAGTAAACTGTACTGCCCAGAAAACGACTCTGATTATCTACAGTGCATTTTCAGACCTCTTGTCACGTATGGTCCGAATTTAGAATGAACTCTCCCTTCCACTGTGTTTCTCGAGTGTTAAGCTTGTGGGGAGCACTCACACTTCGCTATGCACTTGGCATTGCTCACAATCAGCTGATCCGAATGCTTGTCTCCCAACGAGGACATAAAGCATTATACACTTTTTATTTCTAAGCCAGTGGTCCTGCAGCGGTCGAAATTCGACTATAATTCATTGAAATTATAAGTTTGTACACAATTAAGATTCTATTTGCAAAGCCTATCATACTTCTGTAATCACAGATTTCGCGAAGACTACACTATAGACAAATAATATTAAAGACTAGCTGACCCGGCAGACTTCGTATTGCCTCAATCGATAAATAAGACCTAAGCTTTTGTATAAAATAGACTTAAAACAAACAAAAGGAATCCGTCCGACAGGGGACACATAAAAGGGAAAACAAAACTGTTATTTTTATTTAATTCCGAGCATTTTCATATTTTTCTACCGTTTAAACCTTCTCTGGACTTCTACAAATAATTCAAGACCAAATTAGCCAAATCAGTCCAGCCGTTCTCGAGTTTTAGCGAGACTAACGAACAGCAATTCATTTTTATATATATAGATAAACAATATTAACCTATTCTCAATTTCACCACAGACTTTAAGCAATAACAAAAGTTTGACAGTAAACAAACACTATATATACGTGGCTGTGTGTGTCAAATACATGGTAGTGTGTGTAATGTTTTATTATTGATTTAATGTATTATTAATACATAATTTAATTAAAAAAAATGATAGCATTCTGATTTCCTTCTCTATATTCTCTATAAGTGTGGGAAATTTCATACTCCTCCGTGCGCGCAATTTTCGTAAAAAGGGTTACAAAATTTTTACTTCACGTATTATTATAATATTTCTAAATAATGGACTGAACCTGCAGACAAATATTTAGTTCGCATCTGAAGAGCGTTTTGACCATTAAAAAAAACGTTCTTGGCGAGGTTTCCCAAATCGTTATTTCAGTACCAGAATTAGAACGAGTCGATTCATTGGGATCGATGCGTCTTGTGAATTAAGAATGATTCATCTGTTATGAACAGCCGTCCCGGAGTTAATCAACAGACAGAATCGATATGCTAACTTTGAAACGAACTGCTCAGAGATGACTATTAAAACACTAGCGACCCGCCCTCGCTTCGCTTCGGAAACATTAAAACACACATGAAACCAAAAAAATAAAATAATTTTTTTTAAAAAAAAAGTAGCCTATGTTCATCGGGGACAATGTCGGCTTCTAATGGAAAAATAATTTTTCAAATCGGTTCAGTAGTTTCGGAGCCTATTCGAAACAAACAAACAAACAAATCTTTCCTCTTTATAATATTAGTATAGATTCTTCCATCTACTTTCTTCGGTTTTCGTGGGTTATCGTCCTCCTTGCGCCGTGTTCCTCAGTGTTGAGGGTATGGAGGGTAGAGGTAAGGAGAACCGTCTCTGTGTGTAAAAAGTGTCCGTTAAAATCTGCTAAATAAGAGTGGCGTTGGCGTAGAACAGAGTAAATTCGAAAAAAATCGCGTTGACGATAGATACTTTTTTACTAGTGGTAGGACCTCTTGTGAGTCCGCACAGTTAGGTACCGCCACCCTGCCTATTTCTGCCGTGAAGCAGTAATGCGTTTCGGTTTGTAGGGTGGGACAGATGTTGTAACTATACTGAGACCTTAGAACTCATATCTCAAGGTGGGTGGTGGTATTTACGTTGTGAATGTCTACGGGCTCCGGTAACCACTTAACACCAGGTGGGCTGTGAGCTCGTCCACCCAGCTATGCAATAAACAAATAAAAATGTAATTGACAAGCCGGTGGTCTCTAGCCTTTCAGAGTGGAAATAAATTTTTCAATGCAGAATCATACAACTGTTGTATCAAACCGTGCGGTCTCCAAAAGCATATCCCATTAGCGCTATTTGTGTAAGAGCTGAACACATTATTACCCTATCAAATAAAACTTCTTTGACGTGCGTGATTTTTTCCCAGTTATTTATTTACAAAAAGTTATATAAAGCTTTTTTTTATTTTTTTTTATTGCTGCTTTATTGATGGGTAGACGAGCTCACCGCCCATCGTAAATGCCGCCACCCA